ATCACAACTTTCCACATTTGATGAATGTTATAAACCTTTGATACTTTTCACTCATTGTCACAATCTTAACTTTAAGACTTGTTATTGGAACGAAGTATGATTGTCTTCTTGATTTGACCATTTCTTCAATCTTTGATTCCTCTTCTTGGACATACAATTGTACCAAGACTCATTAGAGGATCAATTGAGATATGGTTCTTAATCATTAAGACCTATCATAAAGCATAAAAGCTACTCTCCCTTCTTCTTAGAATGGAGAAACTCTTATCTTTCTGCCTACTTGATTCTTCTTATTCGTTTTGCTATTGATCTAAACCCTTTAATCAATTCAAAATTACACTTAATATTGTAAGTATAATCATATTTACTAAACCTTTAGTAAATGATGACGAATATCTTTGTTACTCTTATGGTGAACTTGATCAACACACAACTTTGTGTGCTCGATCTCCTAGTCCTTCACTTGACACTTTGTCAATGAATTAGTCTAATTTCCAAATATGAAATTTCTCATTCATCATGCAACCAAGTTGCATGATTCCAAGTTTCTGTCCAATTGAAACTTGGGCGATGAGAAACTCTCCCTATTTGGTAAATTCTTGACTTTCCATAACACAATAAGAAACAAATCCATTATTGCATCAATTTTTCATACACGCCATTGTAAGGATAAATAAACAAAATTTTAAAATCAAGATTTATTTTATTGCGGAAAAATTTTGTCCTTCACAATGCAACTCATTGAAAAACTTATGCGAATACATCTTTCTTAGCAATCTAATTCTAACTCTAAGTAGTAGCTCAAGAATCTAATCTTCGAGAAACGCAATCCATTCCTTCACGGTTAGATTCTGCTCACTTCTTCCCTTAAGCTTCTCTTTTTTTCTTTGATCCTTCTAAACATCAATTGTAATCTTATCAGATTATGTATTCAGAATCTAGAATGAAGCTTAAAAGAGTTAGTCAATGGATTTTACCTAAATTAGAGCCATACGTTTCGACTCTCCCATCTCTTAGATCTCTTAGGTAAATAGGGCAGCTTCGTCTCCAATGCCCTTTCTCTTGACAATAAAAGCAAATTGACTCTTTTTGGAACAATGCATGGAACTACTTCAGACATCGCCTTTCTCTTATTATCAAACTTTTCGATCATTGCATGTCTTTCATTGTCATTGTCTATATCCATAGAGGTCTGGAAGGAAGATTCACCAATCAACTTTGTCTTTCTATTGCGCCAAACCATTGCTGATTCAGCATCAATAAGCATATAGGTGAGATCTATAAGAGTCACGTCGCGGTTCATCATATAGTACTCTCTTACGAACTCAGTATATGAGTTAGGAAGTGATTGAAGAACCCAATCAACAGCCATCTTTTCACCGACAATGGATCCCATCATTCTTAACCTATCAATGTGTGACTTCATCCCTAAGACGTGTGCACACACCGACTTGCCTTCTTTATGTTTACTTGCCAAAAGGGCTTGAGTGATATTGAACCTTTCAATTTTACAATCTTGTGGGTTAGGGAGAATAATCAGAGGAGGAGGAGGAAGTGAAGCATGATTTCTTGTTCCTTGATCGAATCGTGGAATATCATCTTCATGTGGAATGCTTGTTCCACGGGATTTGCGAAGACCATAGTTGTCGAACTTTGACATCGGGAGAAAAACGAATTCAAGTTAGTTGATTGATTGAGTCCTTGGTAAATCACCCAAATGAAATTCCAAGGCTAGGACCCAACACAATATCCTACAACTCGGGAGAGGGATGCCGTAACCCAAATTGCAGAACATTTGAAGGTAAGTGAATGACGATTCACTAGTTTCCACCATGAAAAACGAAAAAGAAATTTAAGTTTTAATTCTATGAAAAACTCCTAGATCCTTTGAGATTCATTGAACATTTCAATGGCATGTTTAAATCTCGATATGCCCCTCTAGTTTGTGACTGGGATGCCGAGGATCACAAAGCGGGTGTGAATAACCATGCAAACTACATGGTGCCCTCACATGTTACAATCACCTATTCGATGTGCCGGTAAACCACACACGCTCCACCGAACTATGACAAACATTAAGTCACCCTTTGCTACCTTTGCTTAGAACCATTTAGTGTGCCGGTAAACCACACACGCTCCACTAACGTCTTCGCAAGGGCACAAAGTGTAATTTCATGGAATTGCATCAATTCACTTTGCCTAAGTAACTAAGATTGGGAATTTTAAAAACATTTAGTTACTTTGTATTTCATTATACTTATAATGGAAGGTTTCGTCCTATCCTACCCGTTCGGCTAACGACCTTCCACTAGTCAAGAGTGCGGTGGGTAAGAGTGGATACCCATTCAATCGCCATTTTATAGGCAATTTCCTTAAACACCCCTTATAGACCAGCTTCATGAATGAGGCCTACTAACGGTAAGACTGACTTTTACTCATACATATATATAATGTTAGACTTTTAATGTTATATATAGTATAGGGTGTATTTTATAACTTTTAAAATACTGTGTGGTTAACTTTAACAATTACACCTTTAATTCTATTAAATAGTTAACCTAAACTTTTATGGATTTATTAAACCTCTTTTAATTATACTCCTTAATTAATTAATAAAACCATAAGGGTGTGATTTGAACTTTTCAAAACATTACTAGAGTTTTAGAATTTAACATTTCTAATTAAACCTTTTAATCAACTTTTAAATTCCAAAACTTGAGGGCAAGTTTTGAAACCTTTTTCAAAACATTAGGGTTTTAACTATTTAAATTTCAAAACAACAAAACTTTTGGGGTTCAAATTTAAACTATAAAACCTAAAGGGATAAATTGAAACTATTTCACAAGATAATTCAAATCTAAATTACAAATAATCAAACTTTATCTAATAAAACAAGTGATTATCTAAATTTTGACAATTATCTTCTATTTTGGTAAGGATAATCACAAAATAATGAAAAAATTCGGATTTTATCACAAAAACAAGTTTATGGTAATTATCCAAAACCAAAACAGGAAGAAAATCGCGAATCTGAGCTGTCAGACCCTTTGACTCGTCGAGTCTGGACCTGGACTCGTCGAGTACAGCTGACTCGGCGAGTTCACCAAGTGACTCGGTGAGTCAAACATTCAGAAACTCAAAAAATCGATTTTCAGTGCTTATTTTCGATCAAATATGCATCAATACAATTGAAACCAATCAAGTCTCTGATACCACTGATGGGTTTTGGTCATAAGACATCCTATGTGCTCATACAAACCCTAATGCTTGGATCTAGGTTTCTCTATTGTACATGCTTTGAATCCAAGACTATAAACACTAATTCTAGCATATATATAATCATATTAACATGAGAATAAGTTTATAGTGTTACCTTGATTGTTATGTAGCAATAACAATCCCAAATCTCCTTGTATTGACTTTGGAATGCTTAGAGTCACAAGTGTCACTCCTCTAATGGCTCACAAACACCATAAGCAAGAGGATGAAGAGGAGAGAGGATGGAAGCTGCCAAGAACGTGTAGAAACCCTTACAAGAAGCTTAGACACGTTTTTGAGCCTTAAAGGGTCTTTATATAGTTGGGCTATTAGGGTTATCTAACAAGGAAACCCTAATTTGGAGGCTTAAGCCCTAAGCAACCCATACACTCCTTTTATTAAGCCCATGGACGATTTCCTTATGGGTTTCCCATTAGAATTCGTCCATCCCTTAATACAAGGCAATCCATGGCCCAAATTGCAATTATCTTATAATTACAATTCCAGTCCCTTTAATTAATCTCTTTTAGTCACAAAACTAATTACCAATTAATTATTGACTAATATTAATTAAACAATATGATTTCTCCTTTAATATATTATTCCCATAATATATTAATAAATCATATTCAATCCTTACTCTCCATAATTCATCCTATCAAGTTGCTTTGGTGAAGGCAACCCAAAAGGACCATGCACCATCGGGTCAAGTACATACCAAAATAGTTATGGACTTAGACACTAATCCAACAACTAGAACACATCTGGACATAAATTCTTCATACTCAGCTTCAACTTCTACTTTCACTGGCCAGTAAGGACTATCCAGCAGCTCCTGTCTTCTATTCAGTAAGTCCATAGCAATCAGTATGTGAAACTCTCCAGAGAGATCTTGATGACTCATGCACATTTATCTTAAACCAACAAGATGTTCTGTTGGAGCTCTTGGAATTTCTGTAGTGCGCTGAAAACACATTTTCCTGTTTTTATCAAGATAGAACATTCCATGTTCAGGAACAGAGATGAACTTATGTTGAACCGGATCAACACCGATAGGAAGAGAGTTGTTTATTCCTTCAGCACCAAAATTTAGAACCAATACATCTTCACTATCAACTTGAAATCTAGTTCTTCTGATTCTTGGAACTGAGGAACTTGGGCCTTGCCACTGAGGACGCTGTGTAGGAACAAGATCCAGACACTGAACTTTCTTGATCAGTAAATGAAGAGCACAGGTTAGTTCTGAAGAGAGAGCTGAAGTTTGCTTGGATGCTAATTCGAGCAATTCCATCCATTCAGAGTATCCGTATCTGATCAGCTCATCTCTCTTGACAACTTCAGTGTACGGATGTTGAAGACCTTGACGAGTGATCAGCAAAGTAAAAAATTTCTCGTTACGAGGTTTTGAGGCTTTAACTTTGATGATCTTATCACTGCTCACTCTTCGTTTAAGAACATCTTGAAACCTCTTGCGATCAATCCTGTCGAGAACACTATCAGTCCTTGACTTACTGCTACTAGGAGGAGGCTGTGAAGATTTAGATTTGGACTGATATTCTAAAAACTTTTGCATCTGAGCTTCAAAGGATCCTTTGGCCTGAAGTTTATGCTGAATGAGGGATTCATCAGCTTGAGCAATATTCTTTAGAAGCTGAGCTTTATTAGCTTCATCAAGAATTTGCTTAACCTGATTAGGAGACATGTTCCATTCAGCTGCCAAATTGGATATGCTGACAATGGACTTAGGTTTCTTGCTGGGAAGAGAAGTATCAGTATGTGAAACAGCCAATTCAATATTTGCTGCCTTGCGCTTGCGAGATAGAGATTGAAGATCCTCGCTAGCTACATTTGAGTCTTCTCCTTGAACTGGCACAATGGGATCAATGAAGTTCATGTCTAGCATCTGACACTCATCATCATGTTCATCTTCATCATCATCTGAGGCTTCTCCTTGAACAGGCACAGTGGGATCAAAGAAGTTCATGTCCAGCATCTGACACTCATCATCATGTTCATCCTCATCATCATGCTCACTATCTTCAGCAAGCTTTTCAGTATCTGCAGGTCTATCAGACTCGTCAGTAGGCTTTTCAGTTTCTGCTATTTTATCAGACTCGTGCACAGGTTGTGGTGGCTCGGTCTGGTTTAAAATGTTATCTTCAGATCCAAGCTCAACAAGGTCATTTTCTCCCCTTTTTTGATCAACATCATGTTTTGGGCCAGGGGAAGGAGTTGACAAAAGAACTCCCTTCAGTTGGTGGACATCAGCCTCAATTCGTAGAAGACGCTGACTCATGTCTCGAGTCAGTGTAAGAAGCTCATTAAATGCTGAGGCCGGTATTTGAATGAACTGAGTACCTGGAACTTCTTGTGAGTCATGCTGCTCCCCCTGAAGAGGTTGCTCCCCCGGAGATGGTGGCATCCCTTGAGATTGTTGCTCCCCTGGAGCTGAGTGAACCCTTTCAGTGACAGAAAGAGTATGATGAGAAAGTTGAGGGGAGAGATGACCACCATCCTGCATTTCAGCTTGTAGATCAGCATGAATTTCGTTGTTATCATTAGCTCCTTCATCAGTATCAGCGGTTAGTGAAGGAACAGTATATGGATTTGCGATCCATTCTCTCATTCGATCATAGATGCCGATGTCATTTGCCAGTGGATCATCCTGATACATTCGTACTGACATGCGTGGGCATTGGATGGGGTTTCCAGAGTGGGAGTAGTATGCTTCAGCGAAACATTTATCCATGACAAGAGCAATCCAGCATGGAAAGGGGACATGCTCAGTGCGTACATTGGCATGAAGAAGTTGGACAAGTTGATCAAAGAAGAAATCCCCATAATCGAGATGTTTGTTGAGAAGAAGGGAACAGACAACTTGTTGCTCATAAGTACTCAGTTGATCACCACTGCGAGATTTGTGACCCACACATTTGCACAGTGCCCCGGTGAAGAACTTCCATCCTGGAGTCATACATTGACGCAGAATGAGAGCTGATCGAGCACCAAACTTCGAGTGATCATAGCCCAGTTGATTAAAGAGGCGTCGACAGCGTTCAATAGTTGGAAGCTCAGAGAATGGTTCAAAAAGTGGTAACTTGAGAGCAACACTGAGGAGATCAGCGGTGATAAAAGCTGAGCGTCGGCCACACCCAATAGTCCCGGAGATGACGTTGTTTTCATCATTAACTGTTGCGGTGTAGTAGAACTCACATACTTGTTCGGGAAAGAACTCTGATGGAACCTCACTGATAGCGTATCGAAGTCGGCAGGAGACTAAGAAATTGACAAAATCATCAAGTCCAAGACCGCGATGAACATCTGAGTTTGGAGCTGGGATGACTCTTCTTGAAGTGGAGGAGAAAGTGAACAATGATGCCTCCATTGAAGAGAGTTAGGATTCTAGGGTTTTCTTCCTTTTTTTTAAGAGAGAGAGAAGTTTGAAGGATGGGAGGAAGGTTTGGGAGAGAGGTGAAAATTTTTAAATATGGGATTAAACGGTTTAAAAAAAGTTAATGATTATCTTTATCGAAAATAACTGCGTATCTTGACAGACTGTCAAATCAAAAAAATCGTCGTTGGGTAAAAAGAGTCGTTGTACTGAAGAGGAAATGACAATCAGTGTCTGCAGAAGCGCTGAGATCATTGTCACAAAAAGTTACATGCTGAAAGATAGTTTGTCGTCAATTCAAGGTACAACTTGCTTGTTTAAGGTTAGTAAGGTGATTGGTGTGTGTGATAGATATTGGTTTAATTATCTAACCATCGGCACAGAGTGTCAAGTCTTTATCAGTGAGTGGTATTTCTTACTAAATCATTAGACACTGAGTGAGAAGAAGGTGAAGAGAGGATTGTTGCATGTGATAGACCTTGGTGTTTTGGTCTAACCATCGGCAAAGACTGTTAGATTATCATCAGCATGTGTTTTTGTCACACTGAATCACAGAATCAGTGTAAGATTGGTAAGAGGGGATAGTTGCGTGTGATAGAGCTTGGTGTTTTGTCTAACCATCGGCAAAGAGTGTTAGATTCTCATTAGTATGTGTTTTGTCACACTAAATCACAGAATCAGTGTAAGATTGGTAAGAGGGGATAGTTGCGTGTGATAGAACTTGGTGTTTTGTCTAACCATCGACAAAGAGTTTCAAGTTGTTAACAGTGTATGGTTTAATACAGTGAATCATTCAAATTTAGTTTAGAATATTTGTAGAAGAGATAGAGATAAGAAATGATACAATGTACTCAGCATGCTGAACATCATCATCAGCAAAAAAAACATTAGTTTATGAGACAATAGCAAACATTAGTAAAACATTTTCAATCCAAAGTGATCATTCCAAGTTCGGCAATAATGTGAGCATTAGTTTGAGTATCCGGGGCCTTGGTAAAAATATCAGCTAGTTGATCTGAAGTCTTGACATGTTTTAGAACAACCTTGCCCTTCTCAACATTGTCTCTGATGAAGTGATGTCTGATCTCGATATGCTTTGTCGTTGAGTGTTGGATAGGATTTTGTGTGATTTGAATGGCACTGGTGTTATCACATTATATAGGAGTCTTTGTGAATTTAAGCCCATAGTCTAAAAGTTGATTTTGAATCCATAAGATTTGAGCACAACATCTCCCAGATGCAACATACTCAGCTTCTATAATGGAGATAGCTACTGAGGTTTGTTTCTTGCTGGACCAACTGATTAGTCGATTTCCAAGAAAATGACATCCACCTGACGTGCTCTTCTTATCTAAGTTGCAACCTGCATAGTCGGAATCGGTGTATCCAAAGAGTTCAAGCACTGAGTCACGAGGGTACCACAGTGCCAAGTTCTGAGTGGCCTTTAAGTATCGAAAGATGCGTTTGACTGCAATGAGATGAGACTCCTTGGGATTAGCTTGAAATCTAGCATAAAGAATGGTTCCAAACATGATATCAGGGTGACTTGCAGTGTGGTAGAGAAGAGATCCAATCATTCCTCGATAAAGAGAGTGATTAACATCAGTGCCAGTGGGATCATCATGTAGCTTATCAGTCTTGGACACCGAAGTAGAAGCTGGTTTGCAATCGCTGAGAGAGTACTTAACTAGCATGTCAGCAATATATTTACTTTGACAAATTGAGATACCTGATTTTTGTTGCTGAACCTCAAGACCTAAGAAGAAAGTCATCTTCCCCATCATGCTCATTTCGAACCTTTGAGACATGATCTCAGCGAATTCTTTGCTCAGCTTCTCATTTGGAGATCCAAAGATGATATCATCGACATAGATTTGAACAAGAATCATTTCTGAGCCTTTCTGTTTGATGAAGAGAGTATTGTCAATTGCTCCTCTTCTGTAGCCATTTTCAAGAAGATATGATGTCAGTGTCTCATACCAGGCCCTAGGAGCTTGCATCAGTCCATATACAACTTTATCTACTCTGTACACATAGTCAGGGTGCTCTTTGTCTTCAAAGCCTGGGGGCTATTTGAGAAATACTTCTTCTTGTAACACACCATGAAGAAATGTTGTTTTGACATCCATTTGGTAGACAATGAAGCTCAAGTATGAGGCATATGCGAGAAACAGTTTGATTGCTTCAATGCGGGCAACTGGAGCAAAAGTCTCCCCGTAGTCGATGGATTCAATTTGAGTGAACCCCTGAGCAACATGTCTTGCTTTGTTGCGAGTAATAATACCATCTTTATCAACCTTGTTGCGGTAGACCCAGCGTGTTTCGGTGATGGTCTTTCCTGATGGTTTGGGAACAAGGGTTCAAACCTTGTGCCTTTCAAACTCGTTCAGCTCGTCTTGCATGGATTTAATCCAGTCAGCGTCTTGAAGAGCTGAGTGTATCTTGTCAGGTAGAATCATTGAAACGAAATTAACATACATGCAAAAATTATTAGATACACGAGATCTGGTTCGGACACCATCATGAAGATTCCCAATAATTTGAACAACAGGGTGATCTCAATATCCAAAAGCTGATTCCAATGGATTTGATTTTGAAGTGTTATTGCTGAAAGGAACATCAGTTGCATGAGAATCTTCAGTCTCAAGGGTTTCATCAACATCGGACAAATGAGTTGTCGAGCTGACCGCAATATCTTGATTTACATAATTTGGATCTGGAACGATAGGATCAGGAATAATAGCTTCTTCTTTAGTATGAAAAACTTTATCATATGGGCAAGAGAGAAGCTCTTGAAAGATAGAGGAGGAATGAGCTACTTTTTCATCAGTGTATGATTCTTCATCAAACTTTACATGAATGGATTCTTCAATGCACTGCCTGTTCACATGAAAAACACGAAAAGCCTTTGAAATAGATGAATATCCAACAAAAATACCTTTGTTAACCTTAGGCTCAAATTTTGATATGGGATCGCGCTGATTAAGAATATAACAAATGCATCCAAACACGTGAAAGAAGGATACATCCGGCTTTCGACCTTTTAGCATCTCATATGGTGTCTTCTTGTGAACCCTGTGAATTAGAGATCGATTCTGAGTATAACATGTTGTATTAACAGCTTCAGCCCAAAACGACATAGGAAGACCAACATGAATCATTAAGGTCCTTCCTGCCTCAATCAGTGTTCGATTTCTTCGTTCAACAACTCTGTTTTGTTGAGGTGTGCGAGGAGCTTAAAAGTTCTGCCCAATGCCTTTATAATCACAAAATTCTTCAAGAGTTGAATTCCGGAACTTAGTGCCATGATCACTCCTTAGCTGCTTAACTTTGAGACCAGTCAGTGTCTCGTTTTGACGAATTAGGGAGATGATTTCCTGTGCAGCATGACTTTTCTTCTTCAAGAAAAGCACCCATGTAAATCGAGTAAACTCATCCACAACCACCGGAGTATACTTGTTTCGTCCTTGGGAACAAACATGAATAGGTCCAAACAAGTCCATGTGTAGTAAATGAAGAGGAACAGATATGCTAGAACATGACTTGGGTTTGAATGACGACTTGGTTTGTTTTCCTTGTTCACACGCTGAGCACATCTTGTCTTTGACAAAGTTGAGTTTTGGGAGACCTCTAACTAGATCTTGATTGGATATTTTAGATAGATTCTTAAATTTCAAATGAGAGAACCTTTTGTGCCAAATCCAGCTGAGATTGGTTTGAGACTTTGTAAAGAAACATTGCATCAGCGCCTTGTCAATTGAGAACATGTCAAGAACATATATATCATCTTTTCTACTTGCTGATAGTACAATGTTCTTGTCAGTGTTGACGACTCTTCCTTTCTTCTTTGTAAAATGAACTTCATAATCAGCATCACACAATTGGCTGATTGAGATGAGATTGTTTTTGAGACCCTTTACATATGAAACATTCTGAAACACCACATTAATGCACTTGATGTTTCCATATCCTTTAGTAAACCCCTTTCCATTGACTCCGTATGTTACTGCAGGACCAGTTTTCTTGACATAGTCTTCCATGAGAGACTTGGATCCTGTCATATGTCTTGAGCAACCGCTGTCTAAGTACCAAAGATGCTCCTGACCCTGCAGTACTGAAAAAACTAGTTAGAACACACTGACCCATTGTAAGATGCGTCATTCACAAAGTTATTTGATAATATATTATAGCACTCTTTAGGAAGATAGTTTAAAGAATTTGATTTAAGAGTCCATCTTTCATTTCTAACTTTGATGTTATCAGCTCTTAATGATGTTCTATCAAACTTGCATTCACTGATTTTGTGAGTGGTGTCACCACATCTGTAGCAAATTCTAGTACCAAAGTTTTTCTTGGTAAGAACATTTCTAGATTTAACACATTTGGATTTGAAAGATTCACCAAGTGATCTTTGAGTCCTTTTATTTGACATTGACTTACTACAGAATTCAGTGTCAGAAGAACTATGATCAGTGATGGATAAGGAGCTGACATCAGTATCAGATTTAGACTTATGTACTGAAACACTACAATCAGGATAATGTTTAAGTTGTTCATGAACAGCATGAAACACTCCGTTTGAGATAGGAAATGCGATAATATGTTCAGTGAGAGGAGTTGGTCTCTCAAGATGTGCAGGGTAATAAGTAGGATCAATTCCGGTAATTTCAATATTACACTCAGTAACACCATTAGAATCAGTAACACAACATTCATCAATGAGACTCTGATTAATAAAAGTGTTGCAGATAAATTTGTTTTTGAAACTATCTTTTAATTCATTCATGTAATAAAATTCAGATTCCTTTTCTTGAGATTTAAAAACTTTTTCAGCTTCAGCAAAATTTCCCCCAAGGATTTTCTCACATGAATGAGGTATTTGAGCAGAAATAACATAATTATAATTTTTGTGAGATTAGCCCATAGTTTTAAAACAGTTTGTTCTTTGTTCAAGAGGTCTTTAACTTTATCAATTTCAGCAGATAGCGAGGAAT